ATCTTTACTTATTCATATTCGTAAGACATAAATACTACATGTATTCACATGGGGTTGCCATGCGTGTGTTGTAACCATGGGTGTGCTTCCAATGCCAAAAACAACCATTACTAGGTTCCAAAGCTACATGTCTAATTTCTTCTGGAATAGTGAGGGAGAAGGTAGACATCATTGGGTTAGCTACCATAAAATGTCTCAAAGCACATGAGACATCAAACCACGTATATAACATGGCATACATGATAAATCCAATGGTTGACGCATAAGGAATGAGACTCATCCTTTCCCTTTCATTTTGTGTGTTAGGACACTCAAGAGAGGGAGAGTGAGATATAGTGTAATATTCCACTATCATGCTTACCATCTCACATTATTTAGTCCTCATGGGTAAAATATCTCTCCCTCTCCCCTTATTATCCCAAATTGATTAAGAGTTCAGTTCACATCCATTTATGTTGAGACAAGAAGAAGGGCCTAAGCTTGGGATTATGTTGTCGGGTGATCCTCTCTCTCTCCGATCACCCTTTAACTAATCAATTTATCCAATATCTTGACTCAACTTTACCAAATTGAAAGGGGTTCCCACTAGAAATGGTTAATATGATCACCATGAATGGGTGAATAATATTATAGGGTTGCCATGCATGTATTATAACCACGGGTGTGCTTCCAATACCAAAAACAACCACCGACGGGCTCCAAACTTACATGTCTAATTTCCTCTAGAATAGTGGGGGAGAAGGTAGACATCATTAGGTTAGTTGGTGTAAAATGTCTCAAAGCATATGAGGCATCAAACCATGTACATAACATGGCATACATGATAGATCCGATGGTTGATGCATAAGGAACGCGACTCATCCTTTCCCTTTCATTTTGTGTGTTAAGACACTTAGGATAGGGAGAAGGAGAGAGAGGAAGAAAGTTAGGTTAACTATGCATGTTAATGGTATATTATCGATCCTGATTGTATGTCTATAAGGAGTGTCCCCTAGGTATGAATAGGATATCAACACCCTATGGCGTCAAATAAGATAATTAAATACCCTATTTTAAACGTTTTAAATGAATATATAAAAATTATAAGCTAATTGAGAACAATATTAAATTATGTTAGTAGATCCTTAAATTGTTTACTACTCACCTTTTTATCTTCCTTAATGGCCAAAGTTCTACCCTGATACACTAGTGACAAAATGACCTAAAATATCTTAGCATATACCAATAAAATTGTAGACACCTTATGAATTGTCACTAGAGATGAGTTTAAGTTTAATAATATCAATAACATCAAAAATGTTGATATAGTTTTCAAAGGGAACTAGCAAATGTATCAAGTCCTCTCCATAGGTTACGAGAAAGCTATTAGTCATACTTAGTGATGATTCCATTAGGTATGCCTATATTAATATAAGGATGATCTAAATAATCATTAGATATTCATTCTTTGATAAGAATAAAGAAAGTTAAGGCTTTATTAATGGAAACCAAGGAGCCAAATGAGCCAACAAGGTGGCGTCTTCAAGGGAGATCCAAGATGGCGTAGCTTGCAAGTCTAAGATTCGATCCATTACACATTAAAGATGGTCTAATGATGTGGGCTAGGGCTAAGAAGCTTAAATAAGCTCTCCATGGGTTGATTCAAGAGTGTTGGGCAGAATGCACTTCCAAGGGCCCAAGGGAGCATTGTGGCGCCATCTTAAGAGATGAGGGAGATCAAAGACTTATCAATCTAATCCAAGTCCAAGATTGGACTCCTTAAATCATATTGGGCCTATTTTGTTATATCTAGCTTAATTATAATTAGAACTAATTAATTAAGTCAGTTTAGGTTCTATATTTTAAGCCTTATTAGAGTCCTTTTAGGGTTAGGAGTGGCGTGTTTAGCCTATTTAAAGCTTGGTCTAGTTTTGTTTTAGGACACAATAATTTTAAGAGTTAATAAATTTGAGAGGATTTTCTTCCTTTGTTCTTTTGAGAACTAAATCTAACTTATCAAGGATTGCAACCCTTTGGCATATGTGAATTTATAATCCTCCATAGGGTGTGGCATTCTTCACTCTATTGCATTATAGCTTCGGTTCTTGCATCCTTATAGGCAACGGGTCGAGTTTCACTTATTATAACTTGATTAGGCACGTTCTTGGGGTTGTCTAGCTGATAAAGGTGTTTGGATCTCTCGTCTTTATACATGAGGTTCACATCATTCTCCATCCTAGATTAATCCTTCCACTCGTTAATAAACAGATTAGTTGGATATATTCCTACAACTACACAAGAGGATATCTCCATAATATGGCCGTTCAATAGATATATCGGGTTAGATATCTTAACTATGAGATTATCGATAGCAACTTATCCTATATAGATAATCATTATGGTTTAAAAGAGGCCATAGTATATTTTCATAAATGTCACCCTACAAGGGTGTCTTCTAAAATTTATTATCATACATATATTCCATTTGGCGAATATCTTCTTTATTATTTTCAAAGGTAAATTATAATGGAGTTACCATAGATAATCTACTTGAGGGGTTACCTTACTCCATTGGCTACTTGAGGGGTTACTATAACCGTGAAATAACAAAGGAAATATCCCATAACCCAATTTATATTATGGTGATATTAAGTTACCTATATTAATCAAGCTGTGTTAATTGCATCTCATGCCTCTCTCTCGTTAATTGTACAATGAATTCCTCTAGAGAGGTTGTCAATATATAATATCATTAACTAAAATATTATTAGGTCCCTCTCCCTAAACAATGATATATTAGTAATTTGATCAATAAAATTTCTAAAGATAGGGATAACAATTGTGGTACTAATTTACGTTTCTAAATATGGGATAATTCCCCTTATCATTACAATTCAACTTTTATCATCTCATAATATCCTTCCTTATATCTCCAATTACACTAGCATAAGTATACGAGGACTCACATATATAAGATTATATTCCCATAATAAATATCTTGTAGGAGATATACATAGGTTGAATTAAGCTAAGAATAGAACTTAATATTGGCATATAACTAAGTGAATAAGTGGGCCATATGTATAAGATTTCCAACTCTTGATCCATTGCAAGAGTTGGCCATGAACATAACACTTGGATATACTTGGATTGGGCATCCGAGTGTTAACCAAATATAGGCGAGCTAAAGGAATTATTACCTCTCAATTTTCACTAATGATTAATAGGTATAATTATACCTAAAACCATGACATTATATTAGAGAGGGAGGGAAAATATAATTATTGTATATCCTAGAGGTAAATAGCTATATATTTGATAACTATATTTACCATTTTAGAGTAATGGCATATGCCACTCGGACATATTAATGTTATATGATAATATAGGGACATAATTCCTATATTATGGGAATTTATGGACTATTATCACTATGTTGGATGATTTTACCTTATAAACTAATTCCCCTAATAGATAATTATTTATAGTATATTAACGTAGTCTCCATAATATCCGTGTATTATGAGGGTTACAGAGCCTATTCTCACTATAATAGTTTAATGAAATATCCAATTATGATACAACAACATTTAAGGTCAATTTGCCCAATATTAGCATAAGTGGGATTATTGGTTAGTCCTTATTGTTTAATCAATTGATGAGATACAATCTCTTTATCCTAATATAACACTAATAGTTTTTTTTTTGATGAGTAGGCTATAAAGGTTAAGTGATATAGGTATAAATTAAAGGAGGATTATTCCTAGGTAAAGGTATCCCTTGACCATTTTGGAGATCGTATGTCCGATAATATTTCCTTATGAATTCCTCATAACCTTTTATAGTGCCATACCGTTATGTTGTGTATACCTTAGTTAACCGATTACCAAATATACTAAGTAAATGAGTGTCTCCCAAAGTGGTCTTAGGTAGTGTGAAATAGTATCATACAATTATATGAAGGGGTGTATTATGATACTCGGGGATACTAGTTACCAATGGACAAATAACGATAATTGGTTATTTATACTAGCAATTATGCCTATTAATCTATTAAGTAATATCTAATGGTCATTTATAAATGTATGATCACTCACGATAGGTGATCTCTCAAATAAGAGTAAGGGTTATTTCCTCTAGTTAAGATTCATATCTACGATTGGATGGGATTATTTATAGAATAAACTACATAATAAATGGATGGGTGCCATTTATAGGGAGTGTTCATGAGATAGAGAGATCTAAGCAATTGAACTATTAGGGGGAGATAGTGGAATAATGAAGACTTGATCTAATTAAGATATGTTCCTTATATAAACCCCTCTTAATATCACCATATATTTGAGGATTTCCTACCAGTATATATCATGAAATGCTAGTATAGTGTAATAGCCTATTAAATTAGCAAACTAGATAGTGATTCCTTATTAACTAAGTATTGGTTTATACTAAATTGCCCTCTCATATACTAGGATTATATAATTATCATGTTTGTCATATTCCTAAATGAACTTATAGTTGATAATCCCAATTAATAGGCAGAGACATTCATCATATAACAAATTAGTTGAACTTTAGAGGAATTTCCTCATTTTAAAATGATTACTTCCATGTGGGTATTTTTGAATATCATACTTGGTCATATCTTAAACTCCCATACTATTGAACTTAAACTCCGCAAATGGGATCCTATAATATTAAATAATTTTTTAAATAACCATTAATGATAGGTGAATTAAAATATTTCTATCTATTAATAGTTATTTCGTAAAATATTAATATTCACTCTATTTTGGGCGTAGAGGGGTTTATGATAAACCATGGTATTATTTTATCGGTAGATATTAAATAAATTCTTGTATGTTGCGGATATATACACATTGTAGTATAAAAGGGCACGAAATTATTATGATAATAATAATTTGGGTTTCTTAGTAGATGGTAATATAGCATACCATTATGTATAATATACCCGCTAGTAAATATATAACGCTATCCCGATACTAGTTATATAGACCTACAATAGTATAGGGATTAACCATATGCTATTTTGGTTGTGCCCATTAATAGTCTCCTTATTAACTACCATCTTCATTATCTAGAACTTATCCATGATTAGTTCTGATAGAGTATGGCCTAATATTAATAGATGGGGAGATTACTAATATTATAATATATTGTATAAAGGTATTAAGTTAAGCGGATATGAGAGTAGGGAAATATATTATTAGTATATACTTATTGATGGCCCTCATTGAAGAGTATCCATTGCTAGTATACCCACTATATAAGGTGGGCCACAAGATGTAATATATTTATCCTTATTAGTAGACAATATTACCCTTATTAGAGGCCACTATTAGGTTGATCAATATTGCTAGGTAGTAAATTAACCTATGATAGGGTTATAATGCCCGATAGGAAGAAAATAATAGCTAGGGTAATTATCGTATAGTCCGTATAAATATTAGTAAATACCTTTAATATTAACTATGCATAAATAATGGTCTCTATCCATGATTATAATTGAAATGTGGGTGAACATAAACCATGTCCATAAAATAGTTGTTACCTAGGTTAATTATATAGAGTTACTATTTTTAGAGGTACTATTGACATTATTGGTAATTCATACTAATACTATTAATAGTGTTACCATGGATAAAATATTAATATCACTATTGGCGTAATTAAAGGTGATAATGCACTTAATATATGGCTAATAGCCTGAATCCCTATAAGAATTTGCTTATTTAATAGCCTTATCACTATTATATTTATAAGGGTCAGCTATAATCATATCACTATTACCAAGATAAACCAAACATTCACTTAAATTCTATCAACCATTATACACTGAATTAAGGAGATGAATCAACATAGTATTATCACCTTCAAGAGTGAGGTGATAATTTAAATCATATATTATATTAGTAGAAAATGGTTAATATCTAGCGAATAATGAGTTAAAGATTAACCTAATGACCCAATTAAATAGGCTTATCTTAAATAACTAGAGAATGAGTTAACAATAAAGGCATTACCGGTTCGCTTACATTTGAGGATTAGTCATTTAATGAGGGTTTACAAAATATCTTAACTCATTATTTCCTCTTAACAAATGTACCCACCAGATATTAAATTAGTCTATTATAGGGTAAGGAAATATATTCTCTAAGGGTCAATTCATAATATTTACCCTCATTTGATGATTAGAGGGCCTAATATGGTCAGCTAATGAAGATGGTCCTCATTGACTATTTTAATCATCCTATGTGAGTATTAATATTCCTCGACCTTATAGATAATAACCATATACTATTTAGGGGTTAACCATAAGTTATTATAACCTATAATCAGGCTTATTTAATAATATCTAATCATAAGATAGGCCAAATCCTTATAGCCATCTCTACTATTAAAAATGTAAGTATATTAAATATATTATATACTATACCTCTATACCAATGTTCCATCGATATTGGTTATATAAAATATCCTAGGGACATATAGTTAATTACATAGTTTATAACTATTATGCTAATAGTATGCACAATTGATCATTAATACTCTACTATTGATAGACATTATAACCATATATCAACATGTGATTAGCCATGATAATCATTAAGCTAATTACAACTCTCTATGGACCTATATTTAAGAATAAGAGGGGTGCATGAATAATTTTACAAGGACTATTGGGATAGTTGATAAATATCATATAGATAAGGGTAATAATTATGGGAAGATAGGATTAGTAATAATAACCTCATTATTAGGGTTAAACATGTACTTATCAATCTATATTCAATCCAATATCATATGTCCCTTAATATACACATACCCTCATACTATTAATCTAATAATCAAATAGGGATATTTCCCTATTTGGACATACTCATCACTAGTATAAAAAGGAGAGAGACAGATGGGAAATTCAACAATTGTTATCCAGGTAAAGTCTACATGTAATATGCCCTAAATTAAAAATTATAGAATTTTACTATAGTTAATAGAACTATAGACATATAAGTGGTTATGAACAGTTTAATGGATATTAACAAAATGTAAGATTGGTCTTAACCCTTAATATCTATAATCATTATGAACTCCATATACTGATCTGTAAATCCGTTTTAGTGATGAGTATTAAATTGATAAAATTAAATAAAATATGTAGGCTAATCTATCAAGGTATGTGCCATCAAGTGGAATATTAATGGGGGTAACATTCTTGGTATAACAAAGGTTAAATTTATTAGGGGATATCCTAACAGTCTTAATATAATAACCAAGGTTAAATTTTATACATTATGAATGACTTGAATTGGTACGAGTAGTATATTTAGAGCTATATCCCGAATAACATATAATCTAGTGAAATAAGGGCCCTATTATCTTTGATTAGAATGATAGCTATACTATATGTATTAAGAACATTTGATCTTATAAACTCTTTCATTGGATTAACATTGCTGAATTATCCTATTAGGGATCATATTATCTAGCCGAAATTATGATTGAGTTGTCGAAAAGGGATATCCTATTTTTATTGAAGAATATACAACAAAGTAATCTATATGACCAATGAGAGAAACCACCTATTTATATGTATATTAATACTAGTGAATATATGAGCTATAATCATAATGGTTGAGGAACAGTTGCCATCTCTTTATAGCCTATTCAGTTACAATTAAATCATTGTATGTAAAGAGGATAGTTCCCCATAATAAAATAGATTGGGTACCTTAAAGATTAATAAATAGAGACCTATTGATACTTGTAGATTATATTCATAAAAAGAAGGCATATTGGGAAAATGACCATTATTAGGATGGAGGGAGAATAATATAGGGATAATTTCATTCACATAACTATAATCAACTATTCTCTACCTTGAATCCTCTATATTATAATCCCACCTCTATAAAATAAGTATTTTGGGAAATTAGAAGTATACATAATAGCCTACTATTGACAATGGAAGAGAATAGTTGGTTATTGATGTTCAAAATTAGGTATTAATAAGATAAAATGGCTGAATTATGGTAATTATATGAATAACTTGAAGACAATTTTTTAATGATACTAGAAGAGGAGATGAACATGGCTAATCGATAATATTAATAGGGATACAAAATACTTAATAATACCATAGTAGTTATTAATCAATTGGTATACTGATAGTTAAATAGAAACATACTTTGATTAAATTTAAGGGATAGTTATAGATATTAGGTCATTACTTTATTGATAATGAGTAATACTATTAATAGTGAATCATATTAATACTCATATTATGGCCATTATTTCAGATTTAAGTGCTGCCTATGGTTTAGGAGGACCTTACATTATATGATATAGCTATTAATAGTGTTGGCCTTAACTATTAATGGGAGAATACTCCACTTTTATAAATGTATGATCACTCACATTAGGAGGTATTAGTAGGAAAAAAATGTAATACTCTAAATATTTAATTGATTGCATGCCATGAATAACCAAATATTATAATGGTTAGACTAATCCATTGTTAGAGTCCCTTGGGAAATAAGATCAATCATAAGAGTATGGTTCAATCACTCCAACAATCGTCCCATATTAACTAACTATATTAACTAATGATAAGTATACTACTGATAACTATTATGTAGGACCATGGATAACCTTTCCCATAGCTGTGCTAAGATCAAATGAGGCTATGCTCATGGATAAATCATGTTAGATATATTAGATATTAACCTAGACAAGGTTAGGGATACTAATAGAGGTGACCCTACAATATACTGATCCTAGTTCACCTATTCTATAATATCAATAATCCTCATAAAGATGTATATGATCATCTAGTATACCTTATAGAGTGTAGTAATGTTATAATTATCATGAATTATAGTTAACCTATTTAGATATATATAAGAACCTAGGCTAGAGTGACTAAACTAGATTAGGCTAATTTTTCGAATACTATTATTAGCATCAATAAGGATTAATAGTATATTTGGTGTAGTAGGTTAATACTTATAAATTATCCGAGTAATTATATCTTATTAATGTATCATAGGATTTCCAATAGGCTAATGGTGTATTGGTCTCATATCATATATTAGGCGTACGGTATAAGAAACCATTAGTATATTAGGCATTACTAATTGATGTCCCCATCCCAAATAAATAGGGATGGTAAAATAATAACTCCTATTGTCAACCTAGGATGTATCAATAGGACATCTATTAGGATTAGTACTATTACAATAATATGGGACATCAGTATATCATTATTCTACCTAAGCTCATATTAATTATAGCTAATAGTGTTATAATACACTATTAGTTAAAGCAATAGCCATATATGTATAATATTAGTAATCATATTAATAAGATTATTATCCATGAAACATGGGGATAATCTTAAATCGAAGTGGGATAGATTTATTAGGATAATCTTCCTAATAGACTGTAGAGTGATCCTTCGAGCAATCCCTCCATATTAACCTCATTAGGAGGAATAACATATTTTAAATATGGGCTAATTATATTTTGGGATAGCTTATGGAATTCCCAAGATAGTTATAAGAGATGTATCGGACTCATTACCCTACTAATATACCTTAGAGGTTCTCGAGGATACAATTATCCCTTGTAGTTACCCTTATTGCTTCCAAAAGGGTAATTATATTATCCCTATGTTTCCCTTGTATATCCATGTCTTGCACTAAGGCTATCTTAGGCATTATAATTAACAATATTATTTTATTAATAATAAGCCTCCTAGTAATGAACAGGATAATCTATCCAAGGTGGATAACATTACTACATAACTATATAACATATATCACTTTGGGTTATCCATTTGATACATTATTATCTACTAGGATGTATCCAATCAACAATTATTGATTAATCCCTTTGGTGATATGTTAACTTTAATGATGTGGGTTTCTAATTAACTCCCATCTTGAAGTGTCCATAAGTTTTAACCCATAGGCCTCAATATCTTACCCTATTATGATAATAATTATATCCATAATAGATTGATACTAAGTTATCTTCAATGAGTAAAATATTATTTAAACCTCATGCCCCTCTCTCCTAGTTAAGGATTACATTTCCTATCATTAATAGTATGGGCCTTCTATAGAGAACACCCATGTATAGGATTAATGGGGATATTAAGTTACAATTATTCCAAAATAACTAGGACCTTATATACCTTAATTTATAATGTTGTCATTAATGGTAAGTGTACAGATTCACTTGGTATTCAAACATACAATTTATTAATGTGAACCTATTATTTCCTCTCTTTATGGGTTCGAACATGTAATCGGTAAGGGAGCCAATTATTGTAGATACTACCTCTAGAGTATTAGATAACTTAATGGTACCCATTAGCCTACCTAAATCATAGCTTAGCTATGAATTACTAGTGAATATATGGGCAACAGATGATACGTCATATAGAGATCCCTCCATATTATTGGTAATATTATAAATATATGGCTATAATGAGTATCAATTGACCCATAACTTAATTCCCAATCTAAGGTTAGTTCCCAATATGATGGGATCCTTTTAGTATTAATATTTAAGTATATTGATAGTTAATGTGTATAACCTTAGATTGGGTTTAATATAACAATATCTATAACAACCCACTAATAAGGTAACACTCTCTCTCATGATAATTATAACTATTATATTGTTCCCAAATTAAGAAATAAGGGTAACTTAGGGGATTAACCATGGGTAATCAAACATTTTACTATAATATATTATTATAATAATTATTTATCCCATCATATAAAGTTATTGGGCTAAGTTTATCATTCTAGAGACCCTTCCTTATCACCTATATAACCAAGAGAAATATAATACTAGCCAGGCATATATGTTATTGTTTACCCTATCAAGAGATAAATGACTAAATTATAACTCTTGATAGGTTTATGAGCACTACCTAGTTAGAAAATGATATTATCTCAAAATAATTATAAGTGGGCATGATAAGTAGGGAAGACTACACTCGATATATCCGTGCCAATTGATATTCATGGTTACTCGTCATTACCCTAATATATAGAAGTCCAATTATTAGATAATATCATTAATGTACTCTATGGTTACACATATCATGACAAATATTATGGCCCATATTAACGGATATATAATTAGGTAAAATACCAATAGTCTATATCCTTGAGTGATTTAATATCCTATGGTTCTAACTCAACATGCTAATATGTTAACTAAATTTAGTGGGATGTATCCTAGATAGTATTATTATGGGATAAAACATGGCACATAATAAATTCCAGTTAAAAGTAATCAATGTATAGGGACCGTCCATATTAGCAATGTGTTTAATCATTATGTGTTTGATACCTATTTAATTATTCAGATTTATAACTCACTGAATGATAGTAACTTGTATGTATTATGGATCATATTATCTTATCGAATAATAGAACAAATCCTAATAAAGTTTCCTATACCATCATAAGAAGGTTCATACTCTAAATGCTAATAATATGCAAGGGAATGATATATTATTCCCTATTCATAATGTAGATTAATCGATCTTATCCACCCTTTCCAATTATAGCAATATACTAGAGTAAGAGGATTATTCTTAAATTATTCCGTAGTAATTTAATAATTAATTATAGTATAATAGTGTATACTATTAGAGAGGGACCCTACTAATAGTAGTAACCTAAGGTTGACCATATTATGATTTAATAGTTATTGTTATATCTTGTCACTATAATGGCTCTTATTATTCCATATCATTAGTTGTTTTGTTTTATGAAATAAAATAGCTAATGGCCTTATTATCACAAGCAAATAATGGGCTTGATAGAGAGGGAGGGAGAAAAGGATGACCGTATAGTAATAGTGGGACTGATATCCAAAATTTACTTTATGTTTAGGCTATAGATAATTTAAGTAATATTTATCACCTAAAATAAATAAAGAAAAGAACCAAGGTCCTCCTAACTGGATGAGAGATTTTGATGAGATAATTTACTAATGGCCACAAATTATATTAGTCACCCCTCGCTAAATATTTTTATATTGGTTTTATCAAATGGCTACTCCCTAGATAGCCCAATATATTAATAATGATATTAGTAATACAATATCATAACCCCTTAGGTCAACACTAATATAATTTGTATATAATGGGGATATCCCCTACTCTTGAAGTGATATTAATTAAATATCTCATATAGGGTATTATTACCTTATTTGCTTGATCGCTAATTAGTTGAGGGCCGATCAAAATTAATAATCTTTGTCTCGTTCATAGAGACATTTGTATAGGTATATCTAGGTATAATCTCTATATATATTTCTTAGATTTTAATTATACCATTCCCTCGATATTAGGGGTATATTATAAGTTAAATTACCCCTTAGTAATTTAAGATAAGAACCATAATTGTTATGGTTAAGATGATAGTACTTGTTAACCTATCCACTAAGATGAGTATAATTGATTATGTACTCTATATGATAAGTATATATTAGTACTACATATGGTTTAGGAGGTATAATAACTTACAATATTTATCAAATTAGAATTTTATACATTATGAATGTATCCTACTATCCATTAGTCTAGGGTTATATTCGAGGATCACTAATCCCTATTAGTAAACAAGGTCTATATATATCCCAACACAATACCCACCATACACAAGGTACTCCATTTAGCTATCATAGGGTATTTACTCGTTATAGAGTCCTCGAGACTCTTTAACCATAGTTATAAGAATCCAATAATAGGATATGGTTATAGCTTTATACCGTAATCTAAAATTGGGAAATGATTGATATAATAAGTGGGATCACTTGAATCCCTTGGTTACCCCTAAGTCGGACACCTTTGCTCAGTTATTACCAATCTCTCTCAAAAGGAATATACTAACATGACATTTTAACCTTTAAATAACTTAATAAACATTCATCCTATAATTTTGAAATGAATTAGAAGTTCATTCTATATTACACTATAATGGTATAAAGTCTTTTGCTGATATATCCAATTATATAATCCATAACATTCTTGGTCAATTATAACTAGAAGAAAACAATATATGGTATACTATTGATTTCACAACTCAATCAGATGTGAAGTATTAATACCCATAACAAAAAATGCCCCTTTATATGAAGTTTATAGATAATAACCTTACGGTTAACCTATAATTTTATATTGTATATATTTGTAACCATAACTTATAATCAAAATATGTTAGAGTAAGGAGATATACCTCTTAGTTTAAAGGTGATGCTTACCTAGTTATAACACTATCAACCCCTAAAATGCTGATTTTGGACAACTCTCTATGGACCTATATTGATACGGAATTATTACAATATATTCATCCTAATAAGAGTTGACCATCATAATAATTTTATACAAGGCACCATGGGAAGTATACACCATTATGACAATATCATAATGAAAAGAACGAGTACCAAAAAAGTAATAGTGAGATTATTAGATATGATAAATAGTATATAACACATAAATGCCATTCCATTTATATGATATATCCTAATAGTATGATATCGATAATGGATATACATATTTAGATAACACTATTATGCTCATAGATGGGCCATATTTAAGCTGATAATATAGTCCCTTTAGTTATCGCATGAGGAAGGGTGTTATGGCTAATAGGGTTTGTAACACATATAAGTATTGGCTATAATATTATACGGTCTCCATTGATAGGAGTATATTTTAGTGATGTCCTATGATTATACAATTTAACCATCATAACTAAATGAGAACTAGGTGATAACAATAGTTTTGTATATTATTAGGCATCCCTAAGGTTTACCTAAATATATTGTCTACTAATACCCTTAATTATGAACTACTAGCGATAAGTAGAGTATATTTTAACTAACAATATCTTCTAGGTGATCATGGGATATATGGTCCCATATCATACCCAATAGGGAACATAATGTTTTGATATTAAGTGCTATAATTAATCTATCTATGGTATATTGAATCAAGAATACATGTCCATACAATATTAGGAGCCTATTCTATAATATCAATGAGGATATAATTTTACCTAGGTTAATTATATATTTAACATAGGAAAGTTGATAATTATCAAAATACTCTTTTTATAAGTAATGGTTCGATTACATTAACTAATTAGATTAGACACATATAAGGGAACTAAATATGAAACATGGTATAATAATCTTGATAATTATGTCCTAACTATGTATTATCCTATCTTAACTTCTTCACTTAAAATGTTGCTAGTATAGAAGATTATCAAGATATTTAACCTTTCGTGAAATACAAACCTACTAGAAGATTATCAAGATAGTTAAGATAGGATAATACATTATTAGGGCATAATTATCAAGATTATTATACCAAATAAAACATGAGCTTGTATGCTTAGCAATTGGGATTCTCCCATAGTAAGTCAAACATTAATACTCTAATATAAGTATACCATGTATATTAATACAAATCATATATGTAAACAATTGATAAATCTTCTCTATTCCCCAAGATGGTGACACATCATATAGAGAGGTTGTTCCATAATATAGGTTATAAACTAGGAGAGGCAATATAATAGTATTAATCCTCAAATTAATAGTTACCTATAGTTATGATATATTCTATATGAGTATTATAATTTAAGACCAAATAGACTCTCTAATATGAGGAAATATTGAGAATAATAGGCCTATGTCAATTCACAAGAGATTTAATCCGAAATTCCGTTATGGATATTGGTAGGTCCAACAAAGGGATGTATGGTGGTCCCATGTATGAACAAGTATTTAACAATTTTAGACTTTAATATTATATCATGGATATTCTCATGATCATAATTGACACTCATCAATTGGGGATTCTCCAAAATAGTGGGTATACCATAGTACTCCCTATGGGGCCTATTTTCTCGGCTAGTCTATTAATAGTAGAGTATTATAATTTATAGTTGATATTCGATAAAATATAGGCTAATTTTATCACCAATCTCGAAGACCTATTAAGTGGTATCTCACTAATATGCAATAAGGATATTTTACTTATTCTAGTCTATTATAAATATCATCTATTAGGTATAGGATCAAAATTGATTACTAACTCACATATTGACATTAATCAAAATGTTCTCGGATTAATCATATAACATGACGGGGTATTACCTCAAATTATGATATTCGATGGAATATAAGGTAGTTATGCCTCAATATACAAAGATACTTACCAAGAATAATCATATATATGCCAATATTTGATACTTATAGTATCATAGGATATTTACAACCCTAAATAAGAATAAATCAAAGGTAAATGAACAATAATCACTTTAGGTTGGGGACAATTCATAGATGGACTAAATATTATAAATTAATATTTCCCTCTCTTCATCGTATCAAGTATTATGTCACATATCCTATGACCTTATAATGAGTATGGTGTATCTAAAATGTCTTTACCCATTATAAAGACAGAGCATAATGTTTTATATTCACACCTAATAAGGAACTAGCAACATAGTATAATTATAGTGAAGTACCTAGGACTACCTATTATTCTAACTATAGATGACTCAAATATTGTTCTCATATTACTTGATTACACTCTAATAGTAGCCTATCATCGAATTATTTTTTGATAATGGATTATACAAACTCAAACTCAAATTGGGTGATAATGGCTAATAAACAATTGATAGCCCGTAGTATTCGAATATCAATGTAATTTTGGGTATAACTAATACCCATAATTACAAATTACCAATTTATACCAATGGATACCCTACTAATTACAAGGGAACATGTCGTTAGTCACGGTCATGACTAAAAATATTTTAGTCGGGGCTAAATAGATATCCTAATATAATATATTAGGCATAATATTTTGAGTTTGATATTATTCGAATTGTAATAATAGCTTTTCTATAAATTAATCAGATAACCTTTTATAATTGTCCATATGTCTGACTAAAATATTTTAATTACGAGAGCCTACTTATAAACTATGGTGATCCTATGAATGGTCAATTGGGATACTGTTGAATCTCTATGTAATATTATAGAAGTTTACGAATTACCTTTCATAATCATTAACTAGAGAGACGATCAAGCGGTTCAATCCAAGTTAATACTCATGCTAATATTAATATTATCATTGTCCTTATGGAGAATATAAGTTCACTATTACTCCCCTTAATATGTTTCTAGATAATGAGTATAAAATAAGCCTCCCGATAATGAAGGTTTGTATTGTATACTATTCAAAATATTATGCTAATTATACTATTCACATGATCAGTCATGTAAAGTTGGTGTAGGGTGTGTCAAATAATGTATTAAATAACATGCGGTAAGGGGTCATAGTTAATTCCTAATTATAAACCAAGGACTGATGATATTATGTGGCCTATATGTGAGGTAATATTGTGTAGAACATAGCTGAGTAAATGGATAGTATAGTGCCCTATGTTCTCTGAGGCTAGGCTATATCATTTACTAAGGACTCTAGAGAATATTATAAAGGACTATTCTTACTACCCAGATGTTCTATAATTATATACCCTTTCTCGTGACCTCTAGCATGAGTTATCCTAGGATACCTTTCTTCTAACCATTACTCTTATATACCCTTGGGCCTACTCTAGTAACCATGATAATGGTGAAACATTATTTAATCTAGGGTATAATAGTAAGTTAGACACAATATTCGTATTAGGTATAAGACAATTAAATATTCGCTAAATGTTTGTACCATTTGGTATACCATGCTATAATGATCAGGTTATCAAAATCTTGAAGAGGTGAACTAATGTTTGACTTACTATTATACCCTAGATTAAAGTATTTTCTTCATATAGATAATCATCCATACTATTTATGGGTTAATATATCAAAGCATGGATGATACTAAAATTAATTGAATAACATATATACTCTTATCTAACCTTTTGTATTCTGTCACATTAATTAATACTCCAACAATTTTCCATCATGATCTTTAGATCTATTAATTAAATTCAATGCTATTATACTCAGTAGGACGTAATAGCCCCCTAATAAATATTTTAGCCACCATGGACTAGTATAACCCTTACTTATCTCTACCATAAATCCTTCCTCATTTTATAAATAGGATATCTCCTTAGGAGTTAATTATATTGATGCACATATCAAGTAAAAGATATCCTCAATGTGAATATAAGTATAATAGTAATGAAGTGGCTAATAGTTATAATACAATGATAACTATAATTTGTTAAACCATCCTATAGAGATATTGTTGATATTCATCATATGCTCCATTTAAATTTAAGGTTCTATTTACGTTTGGTGATGGACTACTCATTATATACCAATACTATATAATTTCCCATAACTAAATAGGAGTTATATTACTTCACCTTAAACAAAATGGCGTGAAAGCTATCATATCCTATATAGTTGGCCCTAGGATTCACATATTATTAGGATGATTAAGTAAATAGGGGTTAATACTAACATGAAATAGGTAGATTATTCCCACTTTTAAAGGAAAATAATAGGTATAGGGAAGTGTACTCTTATCTATTCATAATAATGGCCAACTATATAAGGCTTATTGCCATATTCTATACATGGTCCCTATAGCTCACCATGATGATTATATTTCACCTAGGAATACTCGAGATGTCGATTAAGGATTGGGAATCTATTAAAATTCCAATAGGACCAAATAACTTGCACATATTAGGATGCCATATAGCATCAAATGATTTTCATTAATCTACGATTTGGTCGAGCCTAAAAAGGAAGTATATGTGAACTAAATACGTCCCAATAGGATATATTATCACTACCTCAGAATTCACCCCTAGAGAATATTTGGGGATTAAATTATATTTTAGCACTAATATGCTATTTGGAAAAGGAAATAAGTATTTTCATCAATTATTGGGACGTAGTACCTTACTAACAAAGTACCTTTGTCCAGCACCAAGATTAATATGGTAATGATATGCCCTACTGAATTAAAATATAAAAGAGTCAGTTACCTAGTTAATACCCTAGTTAGAAAATGACATTATCATTTATTCAGGGTATATTTAGGTATTAATTTAGTCAACCATATAAAAACCTTAGCCAAGGTCCTCATTGTTCAATATACCTATAAGAGTGGTGGTACATCGATTATATTCTTTTAGAGTACTACCTAATATATAAATAGAGGAGAGACAGAGTTGAGAATGTCACCCCTTTCATCCTAATTAGGGGAAGTCCTTATAATCATCCATTCGGGAGTATGGGACAACTATTTTATCAATACTGATTCCTCCCCGACCAAAATCAGGTGAGGATATAACATATAAAGGCCACTATCCAAGACCTTAGAGAATACTATTACCGGGATATCCTAGCCCGTATTTATCCGCTAACCTAAATAAGGTCTAAACAAATTGGTATCTATCCACTCCCAATATTTAATATATTGACACATTTTCTTCCATATAATATCGAGGGGATATTAAATAGGTAAAATAACCAAATTGACCCATTGCCTAGTATATCTCTAAAAGATTGGCTCCATTATAATGCATAGTTTAGTCAAATATAGGAGTAATCCTCCTATATTACCAAATAAATGTCTAATAGGTTGATATTATCACATACTGAATTATATGGCAATAAGTACACCTCATCTATATCTCCCTATAGGTTATAGGACTTACCAAATATGTTCGGTATAGATTATCCCTATGTAGCTGAACTAAGCTATAGGTATTAAACAAGGTCGATCATACGGGAAAGCTCATATTGTTAGGCATGGAAATATTGGTATGCACCCGATATATAACATCTTACCCTAGGGGAGCCCATTAGGGTATCTTCAAGTTATTCATATAAGTATGTTATCATACTTCATTATCACTTTAATTATTACATTACTTGGTGATATAATAAAAATGGTAATTGAACTACCAATAATCAGATTGTCATGAGACGATTTACACTCTAATGATTTAATACTCTGACTTATATTCATATAAGTATGTTATCATACATCATTAGTAATTATTTACTCCTTTAATAGTGTAATGGGTACTCATATGTTGATATTATAGGCTGGAAACGGTTGATAACTCTCTATGCCCTTATTGGTCCTATTGATTATTTATTCAAGTAATCCTAGTTAGCTTATTCCTCATTGACATCAATTTAACAATAGTAACCATATTTCTCAATTGATAAGTTAGCTTATATCTAAGTGGAGTATTCCAATATCGTAAAATTATAATTACTTTAATTATATGATTAACTTGCCTCCTTTTTAATATAAGGATATATACCCCAAGTCATCATTTTTAATAGCTCTACTATCTTTAAATATTCTAATAAATAGTTGTTCATGTTGAAAATTATGGCTTTCTCTAATAGATGATACAATTAAGATGATTGTAAATAAGGGTAATTTAGACTACCCATATTTATACTATTTAAGCCTCTCATTAATGATAGGTGATATATATATAGATATTAATTATTAACAATAAATCTAAATAGGTTAACTACCCTATTATTTAATGATATCGGGCATAGCCTACCTCGATGTAGTTGAAGAATAATACCATTAAGAATATTAGGCCATTACTCTTTATGAATATAGTTGAAGAATAATTAATATTATCCTTTCGGGAGAGGGGGATACCTTTACTTGAAACACTAATTAAGATTATCCTTAATACATCATGGATATTATCAATATGTAAATCAATGATCAACATAGGCCATTTTTATCCTAATAATCAAAGTAAAGGTTTATTAGATAATCATAAATAACCTTATAGTATATCCCTATTATAACTCTTAACTAGGTTGATAATTTTTTTTTATAAAGTAAAGGTTTATTAGATATCTTTATTATAACTCAACATAATTAATATTGAAATATTTTCTATATTAATTTAGGTATCCTATTTAGGTCAAATAGGATAACAGAGGGTACCCCTATATATGGGTCTATATTTACCCTTTACTAAATAGTGGCTTAAGATATCTTTATTTTTATTCAAGCTAAGAGTTAGCTCATATTCATTAAGAGGTATCATATATTCTCTATTAATGATTAGTCATATCCTCTTACATTATCCTTATTCATTAGCCCAGTGATATATTAACCCACTTGTTAGAAAGAGGTAGAAAGACCTTAGTTATTCTCTAGTCCCTACCAATAATCAGATGATACGTACAAGCATAAAGGAACATCCTAACCAAATTAATCAGATCACCCTTCCTCATTAAGAATAGGGTATAGTATTAGGTCATTAATACCTATTATATGAATCTATTACAAGGGCCAACATAGTGATGAACACCTTCAACAAAGCGATGACCCTCATGATTAATAACAAGAGTGATCGAATTGAATCCATAAGCATGAGAAGAGGGTTAATCCCTACATACTTTCGGTATATTATGGACCAGTATGGAAAATTACTATAATAATATAATTAAACTCTATGAAATATATACGGATATTATAGGTGGATATACCTATATAAATTTCCCTATGAACAGACAAAGGTTATTAATTTTGATTAGCCTCCATTCTAATATTACTATGAGATATGGGGTCACAAGTAATCAACACTCTATAACCTAGTTCACCAATATAGTTAATACCATAATGGAATGAATACCTAATAGTGGATAGATTGTGCAGGATAACTACCTTCCTAATTTCATTAAGGATAACATACTCCTACGAACAATTTGATTGGTTAATATATTAATAGGTATAAATCATTGAGCCAAACTAATTTAGTGGACTATTAATTAAATACCTTCCTATTTACTATAGTAAATATATCAATTATACTTAGGGCTAAAATATCATAATTTGAGGTAATTACTAACTGTAACCCCCATGAAAATCTTTAATGAGACATATATATATATATGCTAAAATATTCACGTAAATATACATTAAATATGAGTGCAATTGTAGGTGTTATTTTAATTATTTGGTGAAGATGGTTAATTAGTACTCACGTGGAAATTTTAAGGCACTTATGTGAGAATTTTGGGATGAAGTTTCAAATAAATAAATTAATTACCACTTATTATATATTAAGTACTTGGGATATAGTATACAAGGAAAATAGGGGTGTATAAAATTTTGGGAATATAGGAATATTTTCCTTGGAAAACATCAGAATGGAACGGAAGGGAATTTTCGAGTTTATAAGGGAAATCTATGAAAATCTATGAAGGAAATATGTTAATTACTTGAAGCTAAGTTAATTAGGGTATTTAATTAGTCTAATCCCTTAGTTAGGACACCTAAGCCATTTCATTAAATGCAAGAGAGCCAACTCACCCAACTTGCACACAAACCCGCCACCTTCACCATGACTCACCAAATAACTTTACACTTTGCCTAATTAATTCAAGACACATATAAACCTATTTAATGCAAGGAAATGGACGACATATATATAGAGAAAGAGAGGGAATGGCAAACATTTTGGGAAAAATTAGTAGCTGCCAAAGGATAGAAGAAAAACCAAGTGTGAGGAAGAGAAAAACGGAAAAGAAAGAGAGAAAAGAGAGGAAAGAAAGAGAGAAAGGAAAAGAAGGGAAAAAGGGAAGAAAAGCTAAAGGAACCTAACCTCATCCAAACTAGGTAAGTGGGTTTTTGTTTGTATCATTTATTTGATCCTTCCATGAAAATTGATGTACTTGCTTAAGCTTTCAATTATATTGTGTTGTATTGATGTGTTGGCCTTATTATGCTTGGTTGGTATATGATTGTTTGTTATTATGGAATATCTATGTAAGTAAGTTTCTTTGATGCTTCATGCCATTCAATGGATGTTATTGTAATTGATTAAGTGGTGAATAGGTGGTGAGGTGTTTGTTGACTTATGTTGGTTAGGTTGTGTGGTTGATCAAAACATGATGGGCGAACTTGGAACTTGTCTAGGCATGAATAAAATGGAGTAGGAAGGAAAGAAGAACGAAATTTTAGGGTTTTCTTGAGCCAATGTGAAGTTAGAGAGTTACACCGCCTCCCACACGGGTGTGTCTTTGCTCGTGTAATTAAGAAATTCATTTTTTTTAAGTTAGAGAGTTACACGGCTACCAACACGAGTGTGTCTTTGCCCATGTAATGAAGAAAGGTGTTTTTCTTCAAGTCGAGAGTTACACGCCCTCCCACATGAGCATGTCTTTGCCCGTGTAATGAAGAAATGTATTTTTCTTCAAGTCGAGAGTTACACGACCTCCCATATGGGCGTGTCTTTTCTCGCGTAATGAAGAAATGTATTTTTCTTCGAGTCGAGAGTTACACGGCACCTCGGACGGGTGTGTCTTTGCTCGTGTAATTCACTCGGTCACTCAAAATTCATCACTTTTATTTCATACTTGCTTGGTTTCCATTCCTCTCAACCAAATAACGTAATTAATGATCAATAAGGCTCAAATAAATATAAAATGAAAATATTTCATGATGATAAGAGGTATGAGCATGCCTAAAACCCTATATGGGTTGGACCTATAAAAATATATGAAGTCGGATCTCGTATGGGTTGGATATGTTTAATTTGGTACGCATAACATCACGTGCATCATGTGCATTATGGGGCGGATGGAGAAAAGTCAATTGAATGAGAATTGGTTTACATGATTAGGTTTGGTAAACTAATAGGAAAATTGGTATTAATAGTTCAGTTGTATGTGTACTCTAAACCGTGTGCTTGCACTATTAAGCGATGGATTCCCCCTAATAGTGGCTACAACGAGGGATAATTCCATTGTAGCGAAGGTGATTTGATAATCACCTGGATTAAAAATAGAGTAGACTAGCTAATGCTCGTGGAAGTCGGAAAAGCATTGCGTATCATGTGTATCACCCCACTTACTAAGCTTCGGCTCACACCATCATTATTTCTATGATGTAACAGGAAGAGGCAAAATAGTAAGGACGTGGCCGATTCCTCCTAAGAGGCTCATGTGTAACACGGAAGCTGAAACAAGTTTTGTCCGTAATTTGGGGGTATGGAATCTATACGGAATCAATCGCTAATTGTAATATTTTGTTACTGTAATTAGTTATGCCATGTAAAATTTTCTATATGCAGTCTTGTTATATAAGGTGCTCGTTAATTTCTTAAGTATACCATAAGAGACATGATTAGGGTTTAGGTAGTGTCGGCATGACGCATCTTGCCTAGTCACTTCTATTTGGCTAATAGTCATGGATCGAGGTCGGGGCGTCACACTAACTAGATCGAAAGTAAATTTTGATGGGGAATATTACCATATGGCATAGCCTAATAGTCAAATCCATTTGGGAACTGATTTGCCTTGATGGTAAGCATCCTATTGAGAGCCTATTATAAGTAGTCTCTAGTTACTTGAGGTAACTTAAGGTTATTTGGCCTACTCCATATCATGTTAAATTACCCAAAAAAGATTTTGTATTAATATGTATAATAGTTTAATTTATAATACCTAGTTATCATATATTTTTTGAATAAATGTTATCAAGTTTAAGATAATTGAAATTATTTGGTTATTATTTTGGCCTTACTGTGGACAATTTCCCAATAAATGATAGGGATTATTGAGAGTTAGGAGTCATAGTGTAACTAAGGTATAGGGTATTTTTCTATAATAGTGGTCATACTAATAGAGTTATGAAGAGAATATATTAGGGTAGTGCTAATAATTAGTAACCATGACCTTATCTACACTAAATGTTAGTGAATATTACATAGGTAATCGCTTAGTGGGACTGATACCCATAATATTTCTATATATAATCTAAAATATAGTCTAATTATAAGGAGTAACATATTCTCAACCTAGCTAGGTTATCACCAAG